CTCCATGCTGCCACAACTGTGGTGGTAACTGAGGATGACTGTCATGAGATCTCCCACCTTCTCAGAACTCTCAACTCCAATCTTTACTTGGCCATCCTTTTAACACTGCAGATTCCCTCTGAGCCCAGCCATCCAGTTGGGGGATCCCCTTGGATCTGCTGTGTCCAGTGGATGATTCTATCAGGAAAGCCTTGGTGAGAACTTGCTGGGGCTGAGCTGAAGGTCCATTGCTCAGAGCAGTGTGAAGTCAGTGGACAGGCAACATGGAAGGCATGAGCCACTGGTGAATGGGATGGTGGAAAGCCAACCATGAGTTAGAAAGGCTGGCTGCTAGGAAGTCAGAATAAAAGCAGATTAGGTGGGAGACCATGCCAAAGTATTGATAGAGCAAATGTTGCTTTAGAATTAATATGAATAATATTTACCTAACACAGGTTTCTTCTATAGATAATGAGTGTCCTGGTGCATGAAAGTCATGCACAGGGGGTGCAGGGGGGGTGGTTCCTCAGCGCAGCCTGCACCCTCTCCAATCGGGGACCCCTTGGGGGATGTCCGACTGCCGGTTTTCCAGGATTGTGAGAGGGATTGGGCCTAAACTGGCAGTCAGACATCCCCCGGGGGGTCCCAGATTGGAGCGGGTGCAGGCTGGGCTGAGGGGACCACCCGCACCCTGCCCCCCGATGCATGAATTTTGTGCACTAGGCCTCTAGTATTAAATAAAAGTGGTGAGAGCAGGTTCTGTGCCATGTTCCTGATCTCAGGGAGAGAGTATCAGTCTTTCATCAAGTCTGATGAGAGTTATAGATGTTTTCTAAATGTCCTTTATGAAGTTGTGGTAGTTCTATTCTTAATTTGCTGTTTTTTTCATAAATGGATATTGGATTTTATATGTCAACATAATTATACTAGTGTCCCAGTGTCAGGCTGCGTGGGGTGACCAGGCCAGCGAGGGGGGTTAGTGAGGGATGATCAAACAGCTGAACAAGCAGGTGCATGGCGCAACCAGGCCAGCAGGGAGCAGTGAGGGCGACCAAATGACTAAAAAGCAGGCTGCATGGGGTGACCAGGCCGGCAGGGGGGGTCAGTGAGGGGCAACCAGGCTGGCAGAGGGGGGCAGTGAGGGGCAACCATGCCAGCAGGGGGGGGAGGTAGGAGC